TTTTTTTTTTTTTTTTCTGTTTTTGTTTTTTATCTTAATAATGAAATACATTGTTCAAACTGTTGAAATCCTTGGGACAGGCAGTGCCTCCAGTGGTACATCGAGATTTGAAGTCTGCCAACATATTGCTCGATAATTCCATGAGAGCAAAAGTAAGCATAAATAATTCTCCTTCTATTTATTAACTCATTTGTTGAATTGAATTCAATATTTCACCATAGCAAAGCTATTCGATTTTCGTTCTCTTGCCTGATTTTGGAGTTTGAAAAAAAAATACATTTTTTACTAGGTTGCCGATTTTGGGCTCTCGAAAGAACGAGTTTTTGATGGTCACAGTTCAGGCTTGAAAGGTACATACGGATACATAGATCCCATGTACATATCAACAAGCAATTTCACAGAAAAAAGCGATGTCTACAGCTTCGGCATTATTCTCTTTGAGATCATCACCTCCATTCACCCACACCAAAACTTGTTAGAATACGTCAATCTTGTAAGATTTCATTATTGAATTTTTCTCCCATCCAAACTTTCCCAATGAGTAATTTACTTACTTATTTTTTTTAAAACATTTTTGTGTAGAACGCAAAGATTAATTCATTATATTAGTTGTTGGCAAAATTGCATTTTGTCCTGCTGCAATTTAATCCCAAAGTTCAAACACTTCACTTTTTTAGTCTTGTGATTAATATTTTGCTGCAATTTGAGGACTGAAATTGCAACAAATTCGCAAATTCCCATATTATTAATTAGCAATTTAAGTCTTGTAATTTAAAATTTTGTTGCAATTTCAGTCATGTAATTTAATATTTTGCTGCAATTTATTTCCTTTTGAAATTGCTGCAAAATATCAAATATTAAATTACAGGACCAAAAGGTGAAAAGTTAGAATCTTGAGACTAAAATTGCTATGACGTTGCAATTTCATTACTGTAATTTAATACTTTGCTGCAATAGCAAAATATCAAAATATTATGACTAAAAGGTAAAAAGTTAGAATCTTGCAACGGAAGTTGCTATGACGTTACACAAAATGCGTTTTTACCATTAAATCGTTATTATTTGGTAATAAGGAAGAAAACATAGGTAATCTTGATGGAATTGATTAGATTCTATTTTCTTAGCTACCAAGTTGCTTTCCATAATATTTTTTTTTCCTCGAATTTTGTAAGGCGGCTATGAGTCCAGATGGTGTTGATGAGATAATTGACACGAAGATTGTCGGGACATGCAATGTTGAAGAAGTGAGAAATTTAGCCAAAATTGCTCACAAGTGTTTGCACCAAAGACCAAGAAAACGCCCTTCGATTGGGGAAGTTTCACAGGCAATCTCGAGAATAATACAGAGGCGTTTAGTCAAAGAAGGGTCAATTTCATTTGCAAGCGGAGATTTCTCACGAGTCGTGAGCGGAATCGAAATGCAGCAGATGGAAATTGGAAGAATGACTAGCATTGACGAGAGGGTAAATGGATGAACACTACATTTACAGCAGTTAGTAACTGTTTTTTTTTTTTCTCCCTGTGATGTAAATGATTCTCAAACAATGTTTTTTGAAGAGATGTCAATAGAGATATAGTTTCTTGTTTGCAGCTTTCATATAGTTTGGTTGAATATGAGATTGAAATTTGTTTAATGATTAAAAAGCCATTCAGTTTACAAATAGCGTATATGTTCTAAGTAGGGCTGCAAACGAGTCGAGTCGAGTATGGACCTTGTCGAGCGCATATCAAACTTTTTTTTTTCACTGCTCGAGATCGAGATCGAGATCGACGAGTCATGCAAAATGTGCAGATCGAACGTTAATTTTTTCTTTTCTGATTAGGGCAGAATAATTGTATAGATCTTGAAAAAAAGAAATCTATCACTTGGTAATTTTTAGTATATTTCAATATACATATTTCTTTTTATGGTCTTTTATAAAGACCATATTTGGTAGCTATTGGCATTTTTATTATAAACTCATAAATGATTTCACATATTAAAAAGTCAAATGCATACCTCCAAACTATAAATTAAAAAAAAAGAAAGAAAGATAAAATGACAAAAAAAAAATAAATTTAACAAAAGTTTATATTATTACTGAAATGATATATTGCGCCGAACAGACTCGGAATATTATCTTATATAATTTAACAATATTCAAATAGTAAAATATTTTTATACTATATTTCATGCATCACACAAGCATCGAAACTAGCTTACACATTATAACCATAACATTATTGTTATGATTCACCTAATTAGCTTAGATCAAAATGCCCATCCTATTTTTCAAATCGTATAATTAGTTTGAAAATTAATTACGGGAGATCTTACGGTCTTGTTACGGAACCATTCTATCGAAATTTGTAACTATTAGATCAACTATTTACGATGGTTACATGTAGAGATGTTAAACGGGCTAGCCCTAGCAGTTTCGGGCTAGCCCTAGCGGGCTTCGGGTTAAATGGTCCGGGCCAAAAAAGCTCAGATTTAAACGGGCTACCGAAAAAGGGACCTAACCCTAACCCTAGCGGGCTTCAGGCTAAACGGGCTATGCGGGCTATCATATTAATAAAAATGGTTGTTAATTAAAAAAATAACAACGGTTGTTAAAAATTATTTTTAACGGCTATTTAGTATTTACCGTCTATCACTATATTTCATGTGTTTTTTATAAGTCGTTCTGATTGACTTAAATATTTTGGTATGAAGTACAATAACAATATTGTTAATAATTATCTTTCAAAATCATAATAATTCATTACAACTCATACTTACATGTGAAGTGGAATACCAAAACAGTAATATACAAGTAATTTAAGAACATATTACTTACTTGATGCAAACATTTACACCGTCCAATCGTAGTTAAACGGGCCAGCCCTGGCGAGTTTCGGATTAGCACTAGCGGGCTTCGGGCTAAACGGTCTGGGCCTAAAACGCCCTGATTTAAACGGGCTACTAATAAAAGGACCTAACCCTGTTTTTTTCCGAGCTAAACGGGCCAAGGACCATTTAACATCTCTAGTTACATGATGATCTATCAATTATAAATCTCGACGGAATGGTCCGTAACGGAACTGTAGCATTTCCCGTCAATAACTATACTATGCATCATTTTATATCAATATTTTGCATTAAATGTTTGTGTTAGGTTATGTTGATTATCTTTCTTATTGTACGTATACCAATCAATCACCCTTTTTCAACTTTCACCCACCACCGCGATGCAGAGCGCGTCTCCTCAACGCGTCTTTTTGCCCCCCAACAAAATCAGCGGCACAGCCAAAATAGACGGCGAAAAGGTTTTATAGCTTCATCTTTTTCGGGAATAAATAAATAAAATTTGCAGAGATAGAGACTCTATTCTCTGCAAAAGCATCACCTCCATAATTTCCCCAGAGCCATCTCAATTTGTTTATTTGGTAAGCAAATTCGCGTTTGCCTGAATCAAAATCTGATGTTTTGCACAGAATGTTTAGTTTCGTTTCATTTTTTTTTCTCGATTTTTCGATTGATTTCCGGGTCGGGTTTAGCGACAGTCGTGTAATTGAGAAATGGGCTCTCTCTGTTTGACGAATCGATTGAGTGCTTTCATGGGTTTTTGGGAATTCGATTTAACCTAGGTTGTCTTCGTTCGATAAATTAGGTGAATGCTTTTTTACTTGATGCTGAAGAAACAGTAAAGGTTCATACTTTTTCATTACTGTTTTCGAGTTGAGGATTTTATGATGGTGTTCCATGAATTTCAGCCCACCCCGTGTGGTTTCACCGTCCGATCAACACACACCCACACGGGTGTGTGTGTGTGTGTGTGTGTGTGTGTGTGTGTGTGTGTGTGTGTTCACTGAGGTAGGGTCGAACCATTCATTGGCCTTTCTGCAGCTCTGATGATATTGTATCTTTTGTTATCTGTGCTCACCTAGCTATAATCTTGCAATTTATTAATATCTGTTTTTTTTCTAGAGACAGTTGATTGACATTTCTTTTTTCTCCATTATGATCATGAGAGTTTATATTATTCTTGCAGGTTTGTACAAATTGCATAAGGTTCCCCACAGTAAAAAAAGGCGCCTGGGACTCGTTTTATTGTCTGAGAGGGGGTGCTCGTCTTTGGGATCCTCTCTCACTGCAATTAAGCTAATTTTTGGTTTGGGAATTCGATATTTGAATGTTTTAGCGTATGGATGAGTTTTCTGAAGTTATTTTTTCCGAGTTAAACTTGTTCTATCATTAGACTGAAGGGTGGGTTCTTGGGCAAATAGTGGGACCAGTAACAATGGGCTCTGCTTGTTGCTGTTTGAGGGATGAATGTGAAGACTTAGCTAATCCAAACAGCTCCATTTATAGGAACTGCATATGCCTCCGTTGCTTCATTCAGAATTTCATGCATATGGTATGCTGTGATGCAATTTATTGAGATGTTCAAGTTTTATTTGCGCACCTTCTGTTTTACTGTCCGTTGTGTTATAGTTATTGCAAGACTTCAAATTCTGCTAGTGTTTGTTGCAAACGTCAGCTCTACGTTCTATATTAATTTTTTCTACTTGGGAATCTTGATTTTTTTTTCCGGAAATCACGTGGCCTGTTGTGATTGGTTATCTCTATCATATAAATTAAGCTAATTTAGCTGGTGGATTTGAGTCGATCACTTACATTCCAAATTTATAGATTTCTATGATTCTTCCCAAGCCCAAAAAAAAAAAAGAGAAACAATATTCTAAATGCAGTAATTTCTTCTGCGCTTCGTTAAAATGACAGTCTACTGAACCAAAATCTATTTTCTTTTCTAAAACCAGTTTGGGGAACCTCAAATTAGGAACAGAATTGCTCACTGGATATATGGCTGCAGTTTAATTTAGTATTTCAAAACACACCATATTCAATACATTATTCAAAAACTCATCCTGATTATGTTAAATATATTGCATTTTCTGTAGTACGTTTCACTATTTCACAGAGGCGAAGACCACCACGCTTTAACCTCATCCAATCAGGGCACGACACCTGTGACTCCCATGACCTCCCTCGACAATTCCCTTGCTGACATGTACCGTTCGCCCCCGAGGCCCCTCCCATATGATGCAGACACTAGATATTTTCGCCTGCAGCGTGGGCTCGTCTCACGACGAGACAAAGGTTCGAGCCATTCGCACGACGAGACCGAACCACTAAGGACAATAGAGGCTGATGATGACGAGTCAGAATCTTTCGGTGGCAAAAATAAGAAGTGGAATGAGTTTATGCGTGATGAAGATGAATCAAAAGAGTATAACTCGAGGTTGTCGATCAAGCTTTCGTCGGCCAAGGGTACAACAGGGTTTTCTCATATTTATACTTCCTCGGACGATGAAGATGTTTGCCCCACATGTCTTGAAGGTATAAGTAAATATGACGTTTATTAGAATTGAATACAGATAATTACTTAAGCTACCCCTACGGTTTTGGTGCGATTGGAGAAGAAACTGATGTCATTTTCAAGATTTTAGGAACAAACACTGTGTTCAATCTTAATTATAATATTTTATCAGAGTTAAATAGGTTCTCCTTTTTTTTTTTCCTTTTTTTTGCATGTGATTTTGGAAGTATAAGAAAGAAGTTAACTATAACGGAATATTATGTAATCTTCAGACTTCTCTAGACTTGTTGGTGAATATTCCGAGAGGGTAGCGTATGCAATTTCCGAACAAGGTTCAATCAGTATCTGATCAAATCGAGCATTGTTATTTTCTTTATTTTTAAAGAATTTGTGAATGACCAGCTGTGTTCACTTTGTTCTTGCTTGAGTAAATTACTGATATGATTAGGATATAGTTCCATTTAATTTTACACCTTTCTTGAGAATTTTTTCATCTTGCAGAATATACCGTGGAGAATCCAAAAATTAATACAAAATGTTGTCACCATTTCCATCTTGGTTGTATATACGAGTGGATGGAAAGAAGTGATAACTGTCCAGTCTGTGGCCAGGTAACTCTCCTGATTCTTCCCTATATATTTTGTTAGTTAGATTTTATCTGAAGATTAACTTACTATACTGCATCCTTTTACTAATAGGAAATAAATATAATCTGCACATTTTTCTAATAAATTTAAGGCTATGTTTCGTAAAACTAGCTGATACAGGAAATAAATATAATCTGCACATTTTTCTAATAATTTTTTTTTATATAGACTTTTATTACGATTCAAAGAGAAATTTAAGGCTATGTTTAATAAAAACTAGTTGATGAGCTAGCTTATAGCAAATAAGTAATTTCATGCTTATAGCTTATGACTTATAGTTGAAATAAACTAGCTTATATGATAAAATTGTTTAGTGAAATTAGCTGATAAGCTAACTGAAATGAAAATTTCAACGAGGTTGTTTGAAAAGGTGTCCAAAGACACTTATGAAATAAGATCGAGCTTTTTAACAAAGCTCGCCCTACCAAACAAAGTTTATTTGAATTCAGAAAGTTTATAAGCTAACCAAGTAAGCTATAAGCTAACTTATTTGTTTACCAAACATAGTCTAAGTAGTTTGGTTCTCTAACTTCACTTCAAGCTCCATCACTACCAACACAAGTTGAATAATATAATATCTCAACTTATTTTTTTTTTTTTCAACTTATTACTTTGTACTTCTTATCAGATACGGTTTTTGTTTATATTCATAGGTGATGGCATTTGACGAGACGCCTTGACATGAAATCCATGAGGTTCTCGTGTTTCTAGTCGTGAATGAAACCAAAACCCACCTATAGATATATAGATAGATGCAAAATAAGAGGAAATGCAGTAAGTGTAAAGCCATTGTACAGTACATTCATCTTTCTTTCCTAAGATGAATGCTTTTTCCATATGTTGATAATGTTGAGAGCATAAAGTACCATCAGTTAATGTATTACATAATTTTTTCTTCAAACCCGGAATATATTTTGTCCGAAGCTTTTAGCCATGGCACTTGAATGATAGTAGTTTTGTGTTTACTGCCACATATATTACATAATAAAAAAAAATTGCTAGAAAATAATAAACTCGACTAGACAAGCTTTATCGTCCTCTTCAGTTGCTCTTCGGCCGATGAACAAGCCTCCCCAAGGATAGGGTCAGGCAGTCGAATTTGTGTCTACTGAAATATGTAAAAAAAAACATAGAAAAAAATATGTAAAAAAAACATAAAATTGTCGTTTATCATGGTCTTATAATTTGACATTTTATAAATCTTCTATAGTTTATAAAATATTATGAATGTATCAAAAGTAGAATAATATCTTCTTATGACTTATTCTATAGCCATTGATATAAAATAATTAAACCTTTAAAAATGCCATCATATATGCCATGGAATTGTTATTTAAAAACAAAAAGGTCACCTCATATGCCACGTCTCATATTGTGGCATGACTTATGATACTCATATACGCACCATAGAAAATCTGGCAAAGCGAGTGACCCCTTTTCAGGGCTAAAAGGGTAGAATGTATCTTTATCATCTTGTAGATAGCCAAAGGGAGAACATATAAATAGAATATATTTTGTTGGTAGAATATATATTGTTGGGATTAATTTGTCTTTCCCGGAATGGAATAGCAAATAACAATACAAATGAAGAATGATGACGAACAACTCGATTCTCGAATAAAATTCAAACAAAGAATTTATTATGGTGCTGTTAAATTAAACGAGTCTGGCTCGACTCGAGATCTCGAGCTCATTTAAAACTCGTTTGGTTAATGAGCCGAGTTCGGATCGACTCGAGAAGGCTCGGGAATAGATTTTTTTATATAGTTCAACTCGTTAAAGTTCGAGATCGACTCGTTAAGGCACGAGCTCGAGTCGAACTCTAACTCGATTTGTGGCTCGAGCTCGGCACGTTTACAGGCTTACAATTCAAATAACAATCAAAGTCGAGACACGTGGAACATGCTTGACAAAATTGTCACCAATAAATGTCCACGATTTTTCGACAAATGCCTCTAAGCTCAGCTCTTTTACAGGCTTATAATTCAAATAATAATCAAAGTTAGACACGTGGAACATGCTTTCTATAAGACAAATTTGTCACTAATAAATGTCCAGGTTTTTCAACAAATGCCTCTTAAATCCAAAGACTATTATTTTCTGTATAGCGGCACTTCAAGTACACGAGATTTAGGCGAACTTACTTGTGTTTATAACCCTCAGTAAAATAATAATAATAATAATAATGAACACAATATGAACATGAACTGACTTATTTTCTATCTCGATTTATTGTCTTTATGTCAATGTCTCTGACGATATATAAATTCAAATCATATGGGTAATTATTTTTAGACATCTCCAATAGTTTATTGCATCAAAAGACAACTTTTCGGGACGAGCATGTGCTTCTGAGAATTACCTGCTCGTCTCGTTAATATTGCTTTCTTTTAAAACTTGAACAATAGGATAGAAAATTCCTGTAATTAAAAATTCAAGGCCTTTAATATATCAGTTACTGTTGATTGGGAAATAAAAGTGAGCTTGATATAAAATGCATGTGCAAAATCGGTGTTATATGTAATTTATTTAAAGTATGTAGCAAAGGCCTATTAGCTCAGTTGGTTAGAGCGTCGTGCTAATAACGCGAAGGTCGCAGGTTCGAGACCTGCATGGGCCATAATTATTTATTTTGTTGCTGCTTCATTTTTTTCTCCCCTGGTCGAAGATCAGGCCTATCAGGTTTGTGCGAATTGGGCATCTATCTATTCAGATACAGCTGCTTTAGGCCCGTTAATTTTATGGGCCACATGTCTAAGATTAAACCCACTTATATAAGCTTGCGAAGGAATGAAAAACCTTGATAATATGCTTATTAAGTTTTTGTTTAAAAATGATATAAATATTTTAAATATTAGAAAAATAAATGAATATTATATCTCGAAAGATATAAATAAAAAAAAGATGTAGATCTTTACTTTTTATGGTCAAATTAATTATGACTATTATTACTATTAGTATTTCTTTATAACAATTAAATATTATTTAATAATTAGTAGTTAGCTTGAATAATAAGCTAGGGTTTAGTTTGGGGGTCTTATTTAAAGGGTCCTTCTGCTTTGTTATTATGATAATAAATTATAGAATGAAAAGATGAATTGATTCGTGTTTAAATGTTTTTGAGATTGCGATCTCATTAATATCGTCTTACTCGTATGCTTCCCTACATCAGCTGGTATTAGAGCCGACACGGTTCAAGATGCCGCTGCGGAAGGACGACATTGACTGGCGTGACACAACCATTGGGTATCCGGGTCAACAAGCCACGGGCTTCGGCCGCCAGATCAATCAATTGGATCGTCGGGCTGAAGATTTTTCGATGGGGATCGAAAAAGCGCGTCTTACGATCAATAACATGGTTGAGGATTTGCAGATGAACAGTGACACCAGCAACCGGGGCATGCGCGGGGGAGTTCGCGGAGGACGTGGTCCAGGTGGGGCGCCCCGCCCAAGATCTCCACAACCACCCGTCCGGCGACGAAGACGGCAAAGAGACAATCTCGGAGGTGAACCCCTTCGGCGATTATCAACCTCCGCACGTCAAGGCTAAGCCATTCGCTGCGTACAACGGACGTGATATGTAGCGACGTAACCCGTTGTTCGGCGATGATCAACGCAGTGATAGAGGCTGGCGCGATGAGGCAGCCTTCACTAGCGGATATCGTGTCTGACACGATTGGGGACTTGATCGCGAACATGGCCATTGAGAGGACTTGTTTCGCGCTGACAACTCCGAATTCGACAAGGAGCTATTTGACGGTCCATTGTGCGACAGTCCGCCCATTTATGAGGAGCCTCCGGTGATGAAGACATATATTTGCTTTGATATGAGCCCCGCATGGAACATTGCAGAAGTTGAACCTTCATATAGGCAGCCGTCGGTCAGACCCGATTTTCTGTGTATTTTGGGCATGGATGTTTTTTCGAAGCCGAGGCTCAATAACTAGTGGGCTATTTTCCTATTGTCTATTGGAAATCTTCCAACAACAGGATGCTTGGCCGTAGTTATGGATTTGAGCGCGGCGTATGATGTGGTCTGTTTCGTGTTAATTCCACTGTGTGGGTTATGCATATTGAGGCGTGTACATGTGCCTTTGCAGCAGTTCAGCCCTTGCCCAAATTATGTTTACCATCGGGGTTGTTGGACGACCATAAGCCTTCGTGCTCGATTAGGGAAACACTGGTCATGGAGACATCTTCAAGGGGACTAGGTCGGATTGAGGGCGAAACCTGCTCAACCGGAAGAGAAGGATGCAAAATAATTATGATTATCATTACTATTAGTATTATTATTATTATAGCAATTAATATTATTTAATAAGTAGTAGTTAATTTGGATAATAAACTAGGATTTAGTTTGAGGGTCTTATTTAAATGGTTCTTCTGCTTCGTTGTTAGGGTGGTGAATTATTGAATGAAAAGATGAATTGGTTCGTGTAAAGATGTTTTCTTGAGATTGCGATCTCAGTAATATCGTCACACTCGTACGCTTCCATACATCATTATCTCCCTTGCCGTTTAATTTATTGTTTTTATATATATATAGAAAGTAATGCAACATCTTATTAACATAGTATGCATTCATACATGTTAACTATTTCCACAACAAATGCTAAAAACACTTAAAAGCATCTTCAATGTAGCATTTTGATATTAAAAAAAAATCTCATATCATCAAATTTTAAAAGTGAGTTATAACTTATATATATATTATCCAAAGCATCTTGTTACAAGTCTTATTGGCGTACGATGTGGTGTGTTTCGTGTTAATTTCGTATATGTACTTTTGCAGTAATTTAGCACTTGCCCAAGATTATGTTTACCATAGGAGTTGTTGGGCGACCTTCAACCTTCGTGTTCGATCGGGGGAAACGCGGGTCATGGGTACGTCTCCAGCGGAGTTGGTTGGATTCGAGGGCAAATCATGCTCAACCGAGAAAGAATGGTGCAAAATATTTTATTTATTTATTTATTTATTATTATTATTATTATTATTATTATTATTATTATTATTATTATTATTATTTTTTTTTTTTGCGGCGGAAGGACGTGAATTATGTTTCTATACAAATAATACTTAAAATAGGTTGGACGAGGTGATAAGTAGTCAAACAACACTGATTCTATTTGATATTGCAATCAGTTGTTATATACTAAAAATCAAATAACCATTAAAACCATTAACATGTATCATAGATGTTATGATATTCAATATTACCTTTATACAAATAAAATATGGCTAACCAACTATGCACCAAGTAGCCCTACATATTTGATCAATTTGTTTCATCTATGAAAACATGACCAAGTAAAAACGGACACTAAATTTGATTTGCCTCCAAGTATATATGAAAGCATATAAACATTTAACAATAGAAAGAGAATAAATTAAAGATACATAAATAGATAAAAGTTTAACCAAATTAAAATAACCAACTTTCTGTTAACGATACCCTGCTTTGAGTGTTTGACGATATTAGAGCCCTCCTCTTTTCCCTCAATTGCAGTCGATGCGAAATGTGCCAAGGGACAAGAATGGGGTGACTCACAACTTGGCGAACTAGGCGTTTGTGTCGCAAACTTCCTATGTTTGAAGCGACTATCTTCCTATTTCTTTCCCTCCTTTTTTTTGTTGATCGGAACTCGTTGTTATGTGACTACATGTTTAGCAACTTATAAAGCAAAAAAAAAAAAAAAAATCTTTCCGTTGACAGTCAACGCATCACAAAACTGTCAGTCTCAATCCCCACGAACCTGCAGGATTTTAGGGTTTTTGCAATTTACAGTTACACACAACAAAGCACACACTTTTGTTTTTTTTTTTTAAAAAAAAAGAAAATCTATTTTTTATTATTATCGCTTTTGAGTTTTGATTCACCGAATTGAGCCCTCTTACATCAAATCTCCGTTTTTTCTCTGCCCGCCGCCGCCACAGCCGCCGCATAGGAGCCCGATTAAGCTGTCGTCTGCTGAAGATATGGCGGATTCCGGCAACAGAATCGGGGAGGAAGAGGAACACCAGGCGAGGGCCCCTGAGGTTGCGCCTTTTGATCTCAATGATTTCACCATAATCAAGGAGGGGGAGGCCGAGATTCTAATGCACGTGAAAAACGAAGTCTTTTATAACAAAACCCAGGTTCTTTAAAGATCTCGCCTTTTGTTTATTGTACCTCGTACTTTGTTTTGATGGTTGGTGTCTTCGTGAGCTGATTTTACTTCATTGAATTTGATTGTAGAGTTGATTCCCTTTTGTTTATTGAATTTGAATTTGATAACTGAGATGATTTTTTCATGTGTTGTGTTGTACTTCAGTACTTCGTAGTTTTCACTACTCAGCGGGTGCTGTTGTTCATGGTGGTTTGAGGATTTTTGTGTTCTGTTTTAACTTTAACTTGTATGCTTTTGAGGAGCCTGAGCTTTTGAAAAAACCATGCCAGGTTAATAACAGAGACATGTCTATTGCTGTTTTGAGAACATTTATATCAAAACGCAAAGAAGAGCATGAATCAATGTTATCCAAGAAAAAGAAAGTTGGGCCCGAAGCAGCAGGGGAGCCTACTGTTGAGCCCGAATCTGTGACAAATACCCCAATGCCCGAACAAAATTTGAATGGAGAGTGTGAAGCGTCGGTAGATATACCTCAGGACAAACCTACCAGCATCTCTGGAGATAAACCTTCAAACCAAGAGGGAAAAGGCCCAAGAGAACTGAAGCCCCCTCGAGTTTTGGAGGTTAATATTTACAAATGTTTCATGTTTATGTTGTTACTCTATTCGTCCGGGAAAAGTATGCACTGCTGGTTTAGATTTTTTTTCATGCATTAGAGGCTTATGGTTTGGTTTTGGTTTAACAGGCATTGTCGGCTTCTGGACTCAGATCCTTAAGATATGCTCGTGAAGTAGATGGGATTGGCCAAGTTGTGGCCGTGGACAACGATAAAGGTAATTTCATGATTTACCTTGTGAAGTTTCAGTTCTTACATTTGAATCTGGATGGTTATTTTGTGGTTTATACTTTATAGTACCATATTGTTTATACTTTTTTTTTTTTTTT